GGCGGGGCAGCAGCTGGCGGCCAGGCCCCAACACCAGGCTCCAACGAAGGTCCTGCTGCTGGAGGGCTTGGAGATGCTGGAGTTGAAGGCCCAGCTGCTGTATCAACTGCTGAGCCATCTGCCAGTGTTGAGCGGCCAACTGCTGCAGCTGTTGGTGCTGGCGCTCCGCCACTGCTCTCCCCACTCGGTCCAGTTCCATCCTGTTTTGGGGAAATGGGGGAAAACTCCCGGTCCGCTAGGTAAACAGTCCCCTTATCCAGGAATGAAGAGTGGTCAGGCAGGAAAACTTTCACTGGTTGAGTCTCCAAATTGTCATCATAAACTTGCACCTCCCTCCTCCATCTGAATGTCTGTGGGAGGGTGTAGCGGGTGGCTCTCGTCGCCACGTCGCCCTTTGGTCACTGCCCTCCGGCAGTGACAACCATAGCCTCTAAGCTGTCCCCTTCCGGGGGATAGTTCGTTGTAGGCCGGCAGGCCTTTAGGAGGCGGGTCCTCCGCCCTGGTACAGCCCTACCATTGCCGCATGCACATCCACACTGCTGGGCTCCTAGCCCGTGGAGCAGCCCCCCTGCTGGGGTCCATTTGTGCTGCTGGGCAGCAGCCTTGCTTGGGTTTTGTGCTATGCCACTCAGCAGCCCCACTCCCAGGCTCCCGGCCCCACAGGGCAGACCCGCTGCCCTCTAGTCCCGCCCCACAGCTGCGCTATTGGGCGGCAGCAAAAATGCCAAGGCTCCTGATTGTGCTGCCAGGTGGCCCCGCTGCCAGGTTCCTGGCCCCACCCCCAGGCAACCCCTCTGCCTCTTCCTTACTCCTCAAGCACCTCTTTGCAGTGTCGCCACCTGGTGGCAGCTCTGCTGCTGGGCTCCCAGTTTCGCTGCCACAGAGCAGTCCTGCTACTGGGCTCCAGCCCCGCTGCAGGGCTCCCAGCCACCAACCCTCCATGGGACTCTCTGGTCCTGGAACACCCCTGGTCACACCCCCTATGTTCTATAGTCTGATGGCATTACTCTATTGTCTGAGTATTTGTTATGTACTTCAAAAATAATTAAGGGTTTTAAAAACAGAGAAGTGAAACATTTCAGGGCCTAGCTGCCCACCTTCACCAGCAAGCAGCTCACCTGCTTTCCCTCCTCTAATCTGACCTATCCAAGAGAGTCAGCACCTGTAGCTACAGAGGACAAAGGCAAGAGGCCCCATGCTCCTGAACAGAAGTACTGAACTGGTAGCAAATGCTGAGTGCTCATGCAGTACCCATCAATCTCAGTTAACAGCTGGTAAAGCAATTCAGTGGGAGAGCACGGGGCTAATCTTCTACTGCAGCTACAAACCTCTATCTGACAAATGGAAAAAGAAAAATCCAACAAAGGGAGATGGGTTCATAGCAATCTATGAAGGAGAGCAATAGCATGGCCTCCATAATAATGTATTTGTTTGCCCTCGTATTATGTGGTCACTAAAGTTTGGAGGAAAAGGACCAACATTAGTTTTTTAGGAACCTTTAATCATAGTACAGTATTTTTAACTCCAATTATGTCCTGCAAGTTCTACCTTGAAGGTGGCCCTATGTGATCTCGCTCTATTCACTGCTGAATTGCTGGACCCACGGGTTGATAGAATATAAAATTAGCAAAGAATCATGTTGCTTTAGTGACTCATTTATTATCTGCTTTTCATTAGCATTCTAAACCAAGGTTAAGAAGAGGGAAGCACTATTAGGGGAGATTTGAGGTTAGAATTTTAATTGGAGTTTATCTAAATCAAATTACATTTAACACATTCAACAAAACATGGATCAAGCTGCTTGTTTGTTTCATTCCAAAGGTCTTCTAACTTTAGCTTCTGGGAAGCCATGTGCTATTTGGCACAACCTCAGCAGCTGAGTTATACACCAATGATTGTTTACAAGGAAACACCATATACTGGCACACTTGCATGGGAGCAGCTGGGATCTCTGTCTGCATTTGCCTTATGGCACGCAATACATGACAGCTAGATCAATCACACTTCCTTTGTGTGATCACCAAGCTCAACCCCATCCCCTTTCTTAAACTACATATTCCATAAAAATATCACATGGATTTTACTAAACATCCTACAATCAACACATTATTACTTTTCAGCCATACTGACTGTACTTTAAATGGAATTATTTCCACCACTGGTTGCTCCAGGGGAGGGGAAACTCTTTCATTATTTGATTGAATTGAAGATTTTTCTAAATTTTTGACATATCAGTGAAGAGTAACATACAGTAACATCTTTCCATTTTTTTTCTGATTCTTCCCCCACCTCCTAACATGCTTCTTGATTACCTCTGTTCATCATATGTCTCAAAGCTTAGAAATACTGGATGATATTCATAAGGAAATCTACAATAAAAAAGTATCACTCATTTCTGTCTTATAAGACTGGTCTACGCAACATGGTTAGGTAGCTTTGCTTTGCATCAAACTAACTGTGGAAGTGTCTTCACTTAAATTTGGCTCCCGCTGAGATATCAGTGGCTCTGTTTGCCAATTGAGTAACACCCACTCCCCAAGTAACGTAGAGTCTGGTTGATGTAAGTAGGTCAACACCATGTAACTATAGACACTACACTGCTTTGATCAACTGTTACTGGCATTAGTTCCACAATGCTCCTCTCTTGACAGTACAATTGATACAAGTGCTTTCAAGGGATGGATAATTTCTTTCATAAGGGCCTTCAGGTTTTTCCCAGATATAGTTCTGGACAAAGATCCCAATAATCAATTTCAGGTTTGGCTCGAAATTGGTTCAGATATTTATTTCCTTTAAAGGCTGTCGACTGAGGTCTTTGGTGGGTAGGTAGGTAGGGCAGTGGTTGTTTGTGGACCCAAACATAGGATTTAGCCCTATTCTATATAATTTAATTTGACCAGCCACGTTTAAACAAACATGTCCCCATTACAGGCTTTGCTTTAAGAATTTTGATGGTACTTAGCATTTCCCAGAGGCAATGAACTGAGACACACATGCCCCATTTTTGTAACAAAACTGAGCTGACAGATACTAAATGGCACTGTAAGGATATAAACAGTTACCCTTCTCTGGGTTCACATTCTAGCAGCAAAAGCAACATTAAAACCAAAAGATTTTTTAGAGTCAACATTAAGAATTAAAAAAAATTGCTAGAATGAAGTGTCCTGATCATCAAACTGGACCAGTTTGTCTCTCATTTGGGTTATTTCTACTCTTCAGTGAGCTCCAGCTGGGACATGGCGATGAAGTCTATTAGGGTATGTCTACACTGCCACGCTAGTTCAAACTAGGGTGGCTAATGTAGGCAATCGAAGTTGCAAATGAAGCCCGGGTTTTAAATATCCGGGTTTAGTGACAGGCTAAACCCCTTCCCCACTCCACTCAGATTTAGCAGAAGATAATTTGACATGTTTTCTCTAAGGGCACATTTATACAGCAGGGCAAAAGTCACATTAAGCTATGCAACTTGAGCTACATCAATTGTGTAGCTGAAGTTGAAATAGCTTAATTTGGCTTTTGGTGCAGTTTACACAGCAGGAAGTCGAAGGAAGAACACTCTTCCTTCGAATTCCCTTACTCTTTGTGAAAAGAGGATTCAGAGTAAGAAGTCCTCCAGCTTGACAGTATTTCGAAATAATGGCTTGCCATGTAAATAACGTCAGTTATTCCAAAATAACACTGCTGTGTAGATTTACCCAAAGGGACCATTTGCACTCTTTTTAGCTACTTAGAACAGGGGTGGGGAACCTAAGTCCTGGGGACCAGATGCAGCCCCTCGCTTGCCTGGATCTGCCCCCTGAGGCTCAGGGCTCCCTCCAGCATTGGGGAGCCCACGCTGGTGAGGGGTGGGTTTTTTTGTTTCTCACTTGTGTGCAACCCCAAAAAGATTCCCCACCCCTGATTTAGAATATGAAATGAATTGGAGCAAGAGCATTCACATGCTTCTGAGTTACTGTGATAGCCTGCATGCAGCTTTGGGAAGACAACAGTTTGCACTTGGTTTACTTGGAGCCTAGAAATTATTTTTAGAGACAGTTTATATTCTGCAAAATTCTAATATGCCTCAGATTTCATCAAGGGAGACAGATGTGCACATGTTGAAACCCTGGCCCCACTGAAGGCAATGAGACTTTTACCATTCATTTCAATGGAGGTTCGATTTCACCTCTCACATCTGATACTTCTGTGCTGCACATTTTCATTATATTTGAAAGGGCTGGGGCTATAACAGAGCCATATCCTCTGCAGATTGAACACAGAGAAGGACCTCTGTGGGTTACACTCAGCTAGTGGGTAAGTGATTCATCAGTCGCAATACAAATGAGAATTTTTACTAATAATCTTTTCTATGGATGCAAAAATGCAGAAGGCTGTGCTTTAAAATTATCTTTCTGAATGCAAGGAAGGGAGGGAGGAGAATTCTTATTCTGTCTATTAACAGAAATGGCAGTTCCTCTTTCAAGATCAGAGATTCAGTAAGCATTTTATTGATTGCTGTTACATGACACCGGCTGCACTGCATGTCTTTCCATACTCCAGCCCTTGCAGAAAGTCCTTCAGTGTAAAAGGGACATTCTACGGCATCTGCAGCGCTGAACGAGAATCTCAGACCCCCTGTTTGAAATGTTGAACAGGTCAGCAGTGAATAAAGCTGGGGAAATTTCACTGCTGGAAGCCACCTTTTACTGAGAACTCACAGCAGGCAGGAACCATCAGGTACCTTGCAAACAGACTGCTTTAACCAATGACTTGTTATTTGTTATTAAGACAGTTCCTTAAAATAAAAATCATGTACAATAGCACTTTATAGCCTAGGTCCTGATTTTCAGTATCTCGGTAGGTGTGTAGGGTTGCCAGGTGTCCGGTTTTGAACCGGACAGTCCAGTATTTGAGCTTTCTGTTCAGGAAACAAATTGAGAAAATATAAATATCCAGTATTTTCTAAATAAGATGTATTGTAGATTGTGATGTAATGTCAAGAATGTCTGGTATTTTTGTTGAAACCATCTGGCATATCCACTTTGCACTCAAATCCCCCATTCAAAATGACCAAATGATCATACAGGTGCCTATCAAGTTCCACACACATCCAGAAGAGATTTGCATAAACACTTTGGATAGCGCATACTCAAAGTAGGTACATATTTGTCGACTCAGAATGTACATGCCTACCAATTTATGCAATAGGAGGCTCTCAATACATTTATGGCAAAGAGCTACATGTTAACTACAGATTCTCATCTCTCTGTGGCCTCAGCAAAAATTACCCAAGAAACACTAGATGGAGAAACAAGATGTAGGATCATTTTAAATGCCCCATTTGTATTCATAAAGAACTCAGTGTCTTATACATGACAAAGGCATTACAGGCCACATTGTCAATTGGGGTAAATTAGTATAGCTGAATTGATACTAGCTGAGGGTCTGGCCTTATTAATCCAGTTCTGCCTCCTTCTGCTTCATTACATAATATGCATCTGTTTCTAAGTCATAACAGACCTATGCATGATGGATACTTTTGCAAAAACTTCATTCAGATTCCTTCATGTTTTAATTGATAAGACTATTCACATGCCTCATTCCAATTTTTCAGTAAATATTTTCCCCTCTATTTCTCATTCTGTTCCAGTCCATTGTGCAAAGGGATATCACCTGCAATATTTTTGTATAAGCTGGTAAATCAGTCCTCTTGGAGCCCCTCCCCCATTATTTTTCACATTTACTGTGAAGATAAGTGGGACAAAATTTGCACAACTCTGGTTGGGGACTAGCTTACACACCATAGCAGGCATTAACTATTTTGAGGTATGTCAGATTCAATGGTTGGCACAACATTGCCAACATAATTCAGGAACCTAGCAACTAAAACTCTCAACCCAGAACAAAAGTTTATTTTGTTCAATGTTTATTTATTTTCCACTGTCAGTCCTCACCCCCAGACAAAAACCTGAGTAACTACAGGTTGAACCTCTCTCAATCAGGACTCTCTGGTCCAGCACCATCCATGGTCTGGCAGGACCATGGATGTTCCAGGACCAGAGAGTCCTGGTGGAGGGCTGGCAGCTGGGAGCCCTGTGGGCCAGGAGGTCAGCGGGCTGCCAACAGTGAGCTTCCAGCAGGGCTGGGAACCTGGCACACTACAGCTGGGCTGCCCAACAGGGCTAGCAGGATAGGGACGGGGGTGTCTGGTGACATTAGGGGAGAGAGGTGGGAGGCCAGCAGCTGGTCCAGGACTGGAAAGACTGATAGCAGGTGGGCCAGAAATGACCTCTGCTGGTCTGGCAAAATCCCTCATCTGGGACCGGTCAAATCCTGACAGTGCTGGATCAGGGAGGGCCAACCTGTATAGCAGGGGTAGTAACCTTTTTTGGGTCGGGGACACTGACCCACAGAAAAAAATCAGTCGGGGGCCGCACACAAGTGAGAAGCAAAAAACCCTAAAACCCTCACTGAATGTGGTCCCCGACTGAGAAGGAGAAAAACACTCCCCACATTCTCCTCACACAGCAGAGACTTGGGGACAGGAGGCATTCTAATAGATTTTATGTGATCCAGCCTGGAGCACTATTTCAGGCTCCCCAATACTGTGGGGAGGGGGCGAGCCTCAGGGGCCAGATCCAGGCAAACTGGGGGCTACATCCAGCCCCCAGGCCTTAGGTTCCCCATCCCTGCTGTTCAGGAGCTCAGAAAGTTGACTAATCAAAATCAATCCCTTGACCAACACCTCAAAATGAATAGCAAGACTGTGGACTCTTTGGAGAAATGGTGAAATCCACTCTCTATCGGCAGTAGTAGCACTGCGTCATTGCACATATCTCTACATTCCACTTGTAGCAATGACAAGTTTTTATATAAAGTGATTGATTGCACCATAATTTATTTTGTCAATCAGTGAGGGTTTTAATTATGTGTTGCTCTTGGGCACCACTATAAAAATATGGTCTGGCACACAGTATGAGGTTTAATGGCCCATAACTGGCACATTTATTAAATGTATGACACCACTCTATTAGTATTGATGATGCTGGACCTTCGTGGTTATGGGTAATTTCCTTATGAGTAAGACCTTATGCTGGCAGGGTTTTGCCATAGGGCAATCAGGACAATAAATCAATTCAGAGATATTAAACAGCTATAAAGTTAAAAAATGAAGAGTCCAAACCAACTGTCATTATAGAACACAGAACTGAAAGATTTTAGATGTCTATATTAAAGGCAGCCACTGTGTGTTGAACAAGGCATGCAACATAACTGGAGCCTACAAGCTTGATTAGACTAAGGTATTAACTAGCATATTAAGAATAAAAGTCACAACCTCTATCTGCAAAGTGGATTTTAAAATTTTGATTCTATATTCCACTCTTATTTCACAGGTGGAACATCCATTGGTAACAAAAGAAGCTGCTTACTCTGAAAGGGCCCGATCCTGCAAATCTTATAGCTCTTGATATCAAACCTATCCAAATGGACTAGGGACTTGGGTGAAGTGAGGAAAAGAAGCTGATTTATACATGTGCATCATCTGTGGGAGTATAAGGGTATGTCTACACTACAGAGTTTTGTTGGGAAAACGGCCATTTTTTGGACAAAATCCACACTGCAATCGCATTCTTCCAAAAGTAAACCGAAAGAACAGAGGGATTTTCCAGCATTGGTAATCCTCTTTATATGAGGAAGAAGCCTTTTTCTGAAAGAGCTCTTTCGGAAAAAGGCGTGTGTGGATGGGGAAGACGGAGTTCTTTCAAAGGGAGAAGCACAGGTGCCCTGGTGGCTACTCCATCCATAGTAATCACAGCTAAAATGTGAGATAGTGTCCATTCAGTGTGGACACTACCTTTCGAAAAAGCAGATTGCTTTTGTGTGTGGACGCTCTCTTTCGGAAGAAGTTTTTTCGGAAGATCTCTCCCTTAAAAAGGTTCTTCTGAAAGAAGTCTGCAGTGTAGGCATAGCCTGAGTGTGAATGAGGCATACGACAGAGGGAGGGAGAGAAAAAATGTAGGTAGATGCATGACACAAGGAGAGTGGGGGATGGAGGAAAGTAGAAATGGAAGTCAGAGGAAGTAGCCAGAGGAGGGGGGAAACAGGAGGAAAAGACTGAAAAAGTGGATACATAGAGGGAAAGGAGACAAGCCATGTGAAGCAAATGGAAGTAGGGGAAAGATGTGAGAATGAGACTTAATGGAAGGAAGAAACTGAAACAAAATTAACGAGAAGAACATATGCCTGTGACGGATTCATCTGCCCTCTGCCCACTACAGCTCCTTCCTAGAAGGCTTATTCTAATAACCCATATGTCTGATCAGCCTCAAAATACTATCATTTAAACAAATATATAACAAATACACAGAGGCTTTGTCTACACTGCAGGGTTTTTGTGCAAGAAGCATTTGCGGAAGAGATCTTCTGCAAAAACTTCTTGGGCAAAAGCATGTTCACACCTCAAAAGCGCATTGCAAAAGCGATGTGCTTCTGCTCAAAAGAGCGTCTATACCACATGGACGCTCTTGAGCAAGAAAGCCCTGATTGCCATTAACAGAAAGGCCATCAGAGCACCTGTGCTTTTTCTGATAGGCTCTTTTTGTGCAAGAAACCCCTGCGGAGCATCAACACATACCTTTCTGTGCAAGAGCTGTAGCGCAAAAAGGAGTTATTCCTTGTGGGGAGAGGAATATCTACCGGCAAAAGCCCTCTGTCCTGTCAATTTATTGTAATTTTTTTCTCAAAAACGCTCTTGACATGTGGACTCTCCACCGGTTTTTGCACAAAAACCTTGTAGTGTAGACACAGCCAGACAAAAAAATGCTTCCTCCTCCTGAAAAAGTTGCCCTGGCCTCATGCCCAGGATGGGTTCAGTGCTGCACTGAACTTCGCAGGTTAGTGCCTTTTTTTGGTTGGAACTACACTATACTCTGTGCATCAAAGTTTCAAGACTTGGGCTCCACCTGTATTTAGAGACTCAAAACCACATGCACACGTGCACCAAGCAAAAAGCACACATCATGGTATTTGTAT